AATTTTGGTGTCGATCATTTGATTTCATCCTGGAAACTACAGAAAATGGGCTTAAAGTGTTAAAAACCGAACTTCTCCTTTAATGGCAAACAGTTACTAGGAGAAAAGAAAATGCTTCCTTTGGGTCACATGAGCTTATATGATTTTTTTTTTTTTTATGACTTGACCCCTTTCTGCCTCTTTTGTAAAAAAAATTCTTATGATGCATTAAACAACAAGCATCACCAAAATCATTATACAGGTCCAAAGAGCCTGAATGGTTCATTAGGGAGGGATCAGACTGACATTATGAAAACCATAAACTTGCATTAAAGGGATCAGCTATTGTAAATAAGTTCTAAAGCATTTAGAAGTCTTTTTCCCCAATCAATTTAGCAACATTTTGGTTTTATGTGTGTAACCTAATTTTACTATTGAATTTCTAGCTGTTGTGCTTAAAATTTCATCACCAAATCAGCTGAGGCAAGTTTATTTATATAGTAAATTGTAGTTGCCGGCAGTTCAAAGTGCCTACATTAAAGAAATAAAATGCTGAAGTGGCATAAAGGTGATAAAGACAATTAAGAAAAAAAATAACAAAGTGATTTATGATATATCCTCAGAAAAGTATGACTGCAAATGTGACTAATATTGTTTAGCTCAGTCAAACGCCATTCTAAATAAATACGTTTTAATCTTGACTTGCAGCACCTGAAGGGTCCAGAGATGTTACCGTTTTATGGGAATTTGATTTCACATTAATCCAGGATGAAAACTTTATGCTGCAGGATATTAGCTAAACCTTCAATGTGGAATATTGCAATGGAAATACCTCTTGATATATGTGAATACATTTTGATGGTGCATCTGTAAAGCTTTTACTGTGCCAAATTTATTTTGCGGACTTATCACAATAGTTGACAATAGGGGTGGGCGATATGACGATTTAAGACCGAGTTACGATCTACACCTCTGATGATCTGTCATTATTAAGAGATCGTTTTATCAGGATCCACAGAACTGCAGCGCTGCTGCATTTCTGCCACTGACCACATTTACATGCAACCAAAAAAAAAACCTTCACAGCTAAAATATAATCCGAGGGTTTGACGTTCGTCCGTTAGTTGGCGTGGGATTTAATAAAATGTTTTAGATCCACGCTACGAGTTGCCCAGGCGCAAGTATTTTTCAAACACCGCTATTCCACGTATGTACGCTGAATGCAGAGAGAAAGTTTCACAAAATATTAAATGTGTAGTTCTTGGCCACCACAAGCGACCTCTGGTCCAGCCGCACGTCAGAGCCGTATTTGAGCTTAACCATACATTTCATCAGCAACTGGGATCTATGTAATGCAACACTGCAGACAGCCTATTAAAATGTTTCTTCAGAATAATTTAGTTTGTCAAAACAGAAGATATGAATATATGGAAATTGGAGCTTCCTTTGCTGCACATTCCATTATATAAATTCATGGTCACTCATCAGTTCACCTGCCAACGTTAAGGTGGTCATTTGTTTGTTTAATGTATGGTTTTGTTCTTCACAGGCTGAGAGAGCTGTGTGTGAAATTGATGTTCCTTCATCCCGTCGACTACGGCCGCAAGGCTGAGGAGCTGCTCTGGAGGAAGGTTTACTATGAGGTCATCCAGGTTATCAAGACAAACAAGAAGGTAAAATTTCAAAAAGTAAATGTTTCCTATGAGCCTGACAAGGGGTCTGAAGCTTGAACGAAATAGGGACTGAAACTTGCTTACGTGACTTTCCACGTAAGCAAGTAAGTAGGCTTAGAGTAGGGCGGCAACTGCTTTCTGTCATCCCCACTCTTTAACTCCATAACTTAACTCCAGCATACAGACTGCTACAAGACTTCTAAACAATCCCCCCTATTTATGCAGAGGAAAGGCACACTCAACATATTTTATCTCATAAATGGGTTTTAATCTCATAAATTGGGATTTAACCGATTTTGAATCGATTCCTTTACATTTTTGCAAAATCAATGTCTAGTGAATGAGATCGATTAGTTTTATAGTGACGTGCGTGACGTTCACATTCACATGAGCAGGAAAGATGCACTCTGATGTCACTGGTGAGTTTGAATCAAGTAGGCCTGTCACGATAACAAATTTTGCTGAAAGATTAATTGTCTCAAAAATCATTGCGATAAACGATAATATTGTTTTAAGACCTTTTTACGCTGATTTAATGGAAATGACACAATAATACATGCATTTTCCTGCCAAAGATAAACACACTTTATTTTCAACAGAACACTTAACACTGGAACTGGTTAACGAAATAAAACGAGAAATAAAAATCAAATGGACTCTCAGTCTCTGTTAACTAAAAATACACTTGAATAAAAACTAAACACAAGATAAAACCACAGTGGAAATAAAAACTGTAAGTTTTCCTCGGGAGTTCATCCTGTCTATCAAATCTCTGCAACATTTTTCACAATGCTGGCTTTTCAACAATATTAAATGGGAGAATCTCTTTAGCAATTAAATGAACTACGCTGTCTGTGAGCGCGCGGCACTTTGCGCCGTCCTTTTTGTATGCTGCCTGTCGATTAATTGCTTCAGTGATGGTGGACTGTCGCAAACTTGAATACGCAGACGGGCCGCCGCTTGTACTTTTTGTTTCCAGCTGGAGAAACTTTGCAGAGTGGTTGTGCTTTAGGTGCATGTGTAGGTTGGTTGTATTGCTGCTCTTAGTTGCTACTGTTTTATGACAAATGCAACATACTGGCTTGCATAGGTTCAGCGGTTCGCCTTGGTCATTTGGTTTGAATCCGAAATACTCCCACACTGCGGCTGTTGCGCTCGGCTTTGAAACCAGTTCCATTTTGAGCTTTTCCCCCAACATAAGATGTGGGGTTTTTTTTTACCTCGCTAACTCCTCTAACTCCTCTCAGGGCTCTAAAGCTGCAGAAGTACAAAATGATGCGCGCTGACTACCTGATGTGATAGTCCACTCCTCCTCCCTCCTCAAAAATGAGGAAGGGGAGGGGTCAATAGATAGCACCAGAGTTAAGCCTTTTCATCCAGCGTCAGCAATAGAAGGAGAAAAACACAGGCAGAGACGATACAGCCGATAAATTAAATGACGTGGATAGTTTTTATTTATCATGCGATTAATTGATTTATTGATTATCGCGAAAGGCCTAGAATCAAGTAGATTTGAGAAACTGTTTATACATCAGTGAATCATGAGGTACACAGTCATGCTTTTGTGATACAGGTTTGTAAATTGTGTTGCATGCATGCAAAGTTCACTTTACCTTTTCAAGACTTATTAAAAGCCTGAACACACGTTGCGTCCGACTTTTTTCATCTCCGATCCGATTTTTTTTCCATGTCATGCTGACTGTGTATAGATAGGCTCCGACTAGGCAGGGTGGGCAGATCTGCACAGACATATTTTTTTTAACTCCCATCTCTGTTATTTCCCACATTTGACTTGGACAGATTATTAATCATTAAATAAATACA